ATTCTCGTCGTTTATGTTGAAACATCCAAGTAAGTCGTTAACGGAAGAACCGTTGCAACCAGTAAGCCCCGAATCTGAAGAATGCGAGCTCACCGCTACGTTATGGCGTAGCCTGAAGAGCAGCCTTCTTCGGTTTCGAGGCCCTGTAGTTTGAGTCGACCAGTTTACTCGGGAATCTTAGGAAAAAGCTATAGCAATTTTTTGATCGTGACTGGTCGTAATAACACCGTTGCTCACGGTCATCCAAAATGGTCTTAGACTAGCATTACGCCTTTGATTGCATACCCTCGAGCCTCGTGCATAACGTCGTTTCAGTCGAGAGTTTTTTTACACACCAACGTTGAACGGTAGCAAAGGTGAACTTGTTTACCGCACTCGCAAACAATGTTGCTTAAGATCAAGCGTAGACCTCACCGACTAAGACACACAGCGTGTCGTATACGGGAATATCCATCAGCGTGGAATCTCATTTCCTAAGCTTTTCTAAACTGTAGCTCCGATATTTTGTAAATTGCTCGGATCGCCATAAAGGAGGAGAAACGTCCTTAGGAGGACACGAGTTTAAGCCACGACGGTTTGAAAGACAGAAATGAATTCTAGTCAAGAAACAACATGTACTCAGGCATCTCTCGCATAGTGCCACTTAACTTTCGATAATTTGTCTATACGACTATACTTAGCCATTATTCGAAGACGCGCGGCGATTAATCCGTAAGTGACTGCGAATCGAGTCGTCCTTCTTTTTCATGGAAATTAGAAGTCGAAGTACTGGGTGTGTTTGTAAAAACCGTAGGTAATTCTAGGGTCCCGTCGATGACCAACGATTTCGAAAAGTTAACCAAGGTTGTGTTCCCATTCGCGCAATGCAAGGAGAGCATAAAGCCGGCGACTGACTTGCAACAAAACATTGTAATGTAACGGGAGCATTCGCTTAATTTGGTGGACTAGCAAGCGACGAACCGAGCCGTTCTTGCGCTCGGTTCGCGCTCGACCGTGCTCCATTGGTCTGTCGGTTTTTTTGACGAACCTCTTTGATCGTCTACTTTCCACTGAACTGAGTAGGAAGCATTGAGAGAGAATTTAGCCGAGAGTTCGAAGCGAGCATTCGTGATTCCAAAAAGGACCTTGTAATGTAACGTTGGTGTCGAACCGTAAAATTCGTGCCGGGCAGTTACATTACAGCGTTCTGTTGCAAGTCAGTCGCCGGCTTAACGCGTTCGACATACCTCGATGTGTGCTGACTTTGAAAAGCAATCTTTTTTAAACGTTTCGAACGCGTTCTGCGCACTATACATTGCGCTCGTGGGAATCTTCAATGCTCCGATGACTTAGTTTGTTTCAGTGTTCAAGCATTCTAAAAAAAGAATTGCGACTGATCGCTATCGAGATTGACGATCGTTGAACTATATGTACGCGAAGCCTCGCTCGAGATACCCAGTCCATATTATATTTCTTGCTCGCGGTTTTTTAACTAGAGTATATGTTAACTATTGTTTCTAAAATGTCGTATCTTGTTCACGTTATCTTTTTTATTGCGCGCGGTGAATCGTGCAGATTATTTACGCACAAGTGCTACGACCACTTTGAATGAGAAACGTGGAAAGAGTTTAATTAACGATGTTAACAAATTCGTGCATATAGTTTATCATGCTATGCTCTAAATGTCATTATAAATCTTGGGCTAACCCTAAGCCAGTACTGCTTTTGAGAGCAAAGAAATTTCTTCCACTTTGTCTCCATTATAATATACAGGAAGGCCACACTTGAGCACAGAATATGGTGCTTGAGATTAAACACGTCCCTACTTTCACACCGATGAACGAAGAATAGTCAGAGGTAGATGGTCCATGATTTTTGCAGTCAACATTCTCTACCCTAAGTATGATTAATGCTTATTCAGGGTGGCCCAAAGTAGTTTGTATTTAATTTGATTTATTAGGTTCCAAAAGTTTCTTTCGCTTTATTAATATGTAATACATGCACAATAGTTTATGTTTTATGTTACATTACTGAATTGTGCACGATTCATTTCGCTCCATTACTGTTACAACATGAATATCTATGAAATTAGATTGTCTCTTTATATAAACACGACCACAGAAAATAATTGAGTGCAACTCGCGAAAGAAACTTTCGGGACAACCTAATACAATTCGTTATTCATTGTACCACTTATTTTGAGATATCCTTGTATGTATAAATCCGATGTGTTATCCGCCTATGGACAGAACCATTTTTAGAGGAAAAAAAGCGATGGCGAGAAACTTTGTACGTGGAACGTAACGTGTATTATCATTCGGTTAAGACTTTGTTACATCGTATAATTGTTGATTTTACTAAGCACGTTCTATGCGATTTTCACAGTTATATGTTACCAAATGAAAATGCAGCTGGTGCCACGATATCGTAATATATAGGGTACTTGATAAATATATAGAGTCATAACGCGGAGCTTTGGCTTCACAAATTTGACATTCGCGATTGTTTATTAGTACATTGAAAACATTCGCTGCATTTTTGTTGGTAACGGCTCGAAGCTCGTCAGAGAAAACTAACCAATTGTAATTTATATGTATCGTTACTCCTTAGCTATCTTGATATTTGTGCATAAGTGCGTGTCTGTGTGTATGTGTATGCATGTGAAAGCGAGGATGAGAGACAGACAGACAGACAGAGAGAGAGAGAGGGGGGGGAGGGAGAGAAAGACATGCTCAACTAAGAATATTTACCCATGTTCGAAGGGAAAAAGATATTCCTAGATTCTTTACGATATCTCGATATTATTCGAGTATTGTTCTTTGTAATCATTAAGCATTTCCGGCGTGACGATATTGCGCTGAGAACTGTATGGTGCTGCGAATATTTGAATTTGTTTTATAGTTACATATTCCTGCAAAATACGAAAAACCTGTGTGTTCTGAGCAGAGTAGAGAATGTCAGAAACTTTTATGAAGGATGTGGATTGATCGGTACACAGTATTTCGATTTAAGTATATCTGTAGTCAATAAAGTGACATTAAAGAATTACAACAAATTTGATTAAAAATTAACCACTCAAGTTTGTAATACAAATAGTTCTCATTGATGCTGCTAGACGCCGAATGGCTTAGTATCACCTCCTTTGACGGCTCCTGACTGCCCCTGACGGCATGTGACAGCAACTTACTACAAAACCTCTAACAAAGTCGCAGGGCTTAAAAGTTCAACAGAGTTTCATCACAAAATACCTCCTAGTACTTTCTAAAGCCTCCTAACACATCCTAACACCTTCTAACATTTCGTTACACCCCCCAAAAA